TTTCCTCCCATACTGTTGTCATGGTAGTGAATAAGTCTCATGATATTTGATGGTTTTATAAATGGGAGTTCCCCTGCACAAGCTCTCTTTGCCTGCTGCCATGTAAGATGCGACTTTGCTCTTTCTTCACCTTCCACCATGATTGTGAGGTCTCCCCAGCCATGTGGAACTGTGAGTCTATTAAACATCTTTTCTTTATAAATTACCCAATCTTGGATATATCTTTATTAACAGCATGAGAACAGACCAATACAAAGTGTGAGTGTTGGATGCTTGAAGGATGGAAGAGAATAGGTACAGAAAGAGAGAAATGTCAAGGACACATTTGTCACACTTGGAAATTTTACCAAGGACCTCCAAACCAGATTGCAAACTCTTGGTTTTCTATTTGCCACAATTGTATCAAGTCACTGTAACTCCAGCAATACCCTTAATAGTCCTGGTTTGACCTTTGGTTGCATGAGTAAGTTACATCTTGTACTGACTTTGTAATGTGGCTCTAACTATTCACAGACCTTGAAAAATACAATATAGTAGTCAATGTTCAGCTAACTTAGAATAATGATAGACATGAAAGATAAACTTAATACCCAATCTGATTATACCAAAGGAAAAAATGTCAGTTTCACTAGTAAATCTTAATACAAGGAAGTGGAAAAGCTGTATCTGTATGAGTTGCATAAAAGTAATGACACATAAAAGAGATTTGAATTTAATCTTTTCACCAATAATAAATAAAGCATGAAGAAGATAACAGACCATTATAAACACGTTGCTTTTTATTTTACTAAGTTCTTTACATATGCTGTCTCATTGAATAAAACAACAATCCTGCTAATTAGATCATATTATCACTCTACAGAGGAGAAGACTAAAGAGAGGTTTAAGTGATCTGCCCATGTTTACACTAGACACTGTCAGAACAAAGCCTCAAATGCAGATTTTCTAACACCAGGTCCAGTCTTACTCATAATACACTGAACTGCACACCAACCAAGTTTTCTTGAGGTGCATGAATCCATACTGGGTATATACTCAGAGGAAAACAAATCGTTCTACCAAAAAGACACCTGCACTTGTATGTTTACTACAACACCAATCATGATAGCAAAGGCATGGAATCAACCAAGGTGCCCATCAGTGGTGGACTGGATAAAGAAAATGTGGTACATATATACCATGGAATACTACACAGCCATTAAAAAGAATGAAATCACATCCTTTGCAGCAACATGGATGCAGCCGGAGGCCATTAGCCTAATCAAATTAATGCAGAAACAGAAAAACAAATACTGCATGTCCTCATAAATCAGAACTCAACATTGTGTACCCATGGACACAAAGATGGAAACAATAGACACTGATGTAAAAAGTAGAGGTTCCTCTTCAAAGACTTTCTTCCCCATCTAATTAGGAATAAATAGTAACTTCCCTTAGAAGCAAAATTTATTCAAAGACCTGTGCTAACATTCTTAAATATCTGCTAGCTGTAATAAAGGAATCAACGCACTTTATGTTCTTAGCTCCCACAATTTAGCCTAAAGATTTGCCCTGGCATGCTTATACTGGTCCAAGCAAGCATTAGGTCACAGCCTGTTCCTCTTCCTTATTTGAAGGTGTTTTTACCTTTCTCAGCATTCCACAAGTTACTTCCTCCTTCCTTTGCTCTACTCTACCTTTGCCTCTTTTAAAAAGTTCTAAGTTGCTAGCCAATCGGGACAAATACAGAACGTGAGGTCCTGTTCCAGCCGATGGAAACCAGACACAGCAGTAGGGTGGATGCATCAGGTTATAAATGACCCTGTCTCCTTTGTTCTGTGCACTCTCATGACAAAACTGCTAGCGAGTGTACTCTTTCTGCAGAAAGTGAAAATGGCCTTGCTGAAGAAATTAAATTTATGTTCAAGTACTATTTCTCTATGGCACTGGGGAACTAGCATTTCTAACACTGGGGATTCATGCGAAGGGACGGAGTGTGGCAAGGGTTGAAAAACTAAAAAATTACCTATTGGGTACTATGTTTGCTACTTGGGTAATGGGGTCATCAGAAGCCTGAACCTCTGCATTATGCAAATACTCATGTAACAAACCTGCATGTGTATCCCTTGAATCTTAAATATATATATAAATCTAGGGTTACTCTGGAGAATAAGCCTTGGGAATAAGCTGTAAGAAATAAAACTTGACTCTTCTAATAGCCTAGGATACTCAAACAGGGCTAAAGTGGCCCCAGTCCATAGCAGTATGTGACCCAAAAGACAAGCAAATGCTAATTATCTCTGGAGGCAGCATGCTCAATTTAGTTTCTCAGACTCCCACAGATGACCTTCAATCACATATAAGTTCAGAATAAAACTGCCAAACATACGAAGATGCAAGTCTTAATATGTGTCAGCAGAGAAACAAAACATTCGCTGTAAACCACTGTTAAGTCATATTGGATTTATCTGTTAATTTTGGCTGCAAAATATTTCACCATAATTTATTCATCCACTCTCTTGTCAATGGGCATTTGGTTTCTTTGTTGTTGCTATTGTGAGCAGTTCTACTAAGAACTTTAATGATGTCTCCTGGGGCATTCATGCTATCATTTCCTTAGGTAAATATCCAGAAGTGGAATTGCTGCTTGAGCATATAATGTGAATCTATCTTAAACTTCACAAGATAATGCAAACCCTTAGTTTCAAAAATAGTTGAAACAATTTATACTCCTACCAGCAATATAAGGGATTCTGTGTAACATTTGTTAATTGTTGTCAATCTACTGAGTCCAAAGTTGTATTTCACTGTGGTCTTTTTTTGAGAAAGTCTTGAGTGCAGTGGCTGATTTCTGCTCACTGCAACCTCTCTCCAGTGTTCAAGTGATTCTAATGCCTCAGCCCCCGAGTAACAGGGATTACAGGTGTGCACCACCATGCCCAGCTGACTTTTTGTATTTTTAGTAGAGACAGGGTTTCACCATGTTGCCCAGGCAGGTCTCGAACTCCTATCCCAAGTTATTTGCCCACTTCGGCCTCCCAAAGTGCTGGGGTTACAGGCATGAGCCACCATGCCCAGCCTCAGTGTGGTCTTGGATTTGTAGTTTCTTGGTCTTGATTTGTAGTTTCTTGATGACTAATCAAGCTGAACATCTCTTCTTATGCTTATTGGACATGTTTTTCGAGTCTTTTGCCCATTTTTCAATGGGCTTGTTTGAACTTGGTTTCAATTTTTATTCAACTAGTTGCCTAGTTCATTGCATTATTCTTGGGCAAAGGACAAATTAAATATTCAACATTCGATTCTCTAAATACACCCTGCCTGGAAAATACTCTGGCATTTGTTTATGCTGTTTGTTCCCCAAATTTGGTGTGGCCTTCTTCAGTGGGTCATTATCTCAGAACAGATGGCACCTGTGCTCTTTGAAGATACCCATACACTTGGCTGACAAAATTTGTCCTTCTGTATACCAATAGCATTTGATTTATACCACTCTATTAGGGCAAAGCACATGTGTACAATTACATGTCTTCCCCCTTTCTCTCCTAGAAAAATAGGAGCTTCTTGATGGCAGTAACTTACTCATTTTATCTCTGAATATTCAAAATATGCTTGGAAAAGAGGCATGAAATAAATGTTCAAAATTCAAAAGGGATGACTTTGCTACAGGATCAAATTTCAATGCATTCCATTCACTTTATTCTTATTTTATGTAGAGATGGGGTCTCACTATGTTGGCCATGCTTGTCTCAAACTCCCGGCCTCCAGCAATCCTACTGCCTCAGCCTTCCCAAAGTGCTGGGATTATAGCCACTCCCACCCTGACCCCCTCATTCACATTTTAAGTGAGCCATTACAGAGAAGTTTTAAATCAAGTTCTTTAACATTTTTAGTAAGCAATTTTATTACTAATAGTAAACTTCAGAAAATCTTGGTCATTTTCAGTTTGAGATATTCTGTTCCAGTTATTGAACCGTGTGACCCAGTTTTGGTTTGGAAGATATGGTTATTGTCAGGACTGGGTACTTACTATACCATAGAACTCATAGTCACAGACAAAAGTAAATATTTCTTGGGTTTGGATAATTATATTTTATAAAGAACAAAACACACACACACAAAAATAACTATGCTACAAGGGAAAATATAAGTTCTATTTAATCAAAGAATTGAGACCACTACAAAAATTTTTTTAAAAACCCAAAAAACCAAAACCCAAAACCATAAAATATTTAAACAGTTCCATATAAATTAAATACTTAAGGAAGAGTTTTAATTGTCATACAAATATCTACAGTATTTCTATCCTCCATCGGGGCCCTAACCTTCATCTTTAATTTATGTGAAACCCAAAATCACACATTTGGTCATGCAACCAATATTAAGGGTAAGGAAGTATGCCAGATTCTATTTCTTTTAAGTAACTCAAGTTTTCACTTGCATTAAAGAACACTGAGCTTCTGCGAGTGTCTCACTGTCCTAGAAACTAAACTAACACCAGTATTGTGTACTCACTTGTTATGGAGTAGGAGAAAGTGACATGTCAGCAGAAAGGAACCGGGAGCCTTCCCGGCAGAAGAGGTGGAAATATCAAGATCTAGCGGTGCGGAATCCTTTGCCAGCTGGGTTCGAATCTTGGCTCCAGTTCTTTAATCCCTGGGACTGGGAAACTCCCTTAGAGTGACTTCAGCCCACCACACCAAGGAAGCTAAATGACTTCTCCATGTTTAGAAAAGCTAGAGTGAGACCAAGCGTGGTGGCTCACGCCTGTAATCCCAGCACTTTGGGAGGCGGAGGTGGGTGGCTCACTTGAGGCCAGGAGTTCAAGACCAGCCTGGCCAACATGGTGAAACCCCGTCTCTACTAAAAAAAAATACAAAAACTAGCCGGGCGTGGTGGCGCAGGCCTGTAATCCCAGCTACTAGGGAGGGTGAGGCAGGTGAATCGCTTGAACCCACGAGGCGGAGGCTGCAGTGAGCCGAGATCATGCCACTGCACTCCAGCCTGGGTGGCAGAGCGAGACTCGGTCTTGAAAAGAAAGGAAAAACGAAAAGCTAGAGAAGGGGCAGATTGGTTAACGCGGCATGGATCACACCGCATCCTGGGGTGCTAAACCTAATGAGAAGTTAGGAAGGACAGAGCTAGGAGTAGAGCGAGGCTGTTAGGCGGAGCTTTACCGGGGCCGTCGCACGGCCCCTACAGCCTGCACGCAGGCTGATCACCAGGTCTTCAGCCTCTACCCTTGCCTACTGGAAAGTGTGCTTAACTGGTCGCCCCTGCGCCCCACCTTTCTCCAGGACCCTCACTACACCCCGGGAGTACTGGGTAGGACCACGCGGCTTGCTAATCCCACAGCTGTCTCTCTTACTTTCTCACTGAACTGACTAGAACCTAACCCGCCGCCCGTTTCCTTTCTAGACCCCCAGGCTGCTCTGAACAGGGCCTTTACTCGGAAGCCAGGGCTTATCTTTCGGCTGCGACCGGGTCATTTGTGATGGGAATGACACTGCCCGGAGCGGAGGACTCCCGGCAACTTGGCGACCCGCAGGTGGAGATCTGGCTTTCCATGCCGGCGTGACCCCCACTGCCTGCCTGCCAACTCCACGCCCGCCGCCAGGTGGCCGAGCAGGACGCCACCCGCTCGGCGTAGGCAACTTTACGCAGCTGGCTACCGGAAGGGCAGGGTGCCGCGAGTTTCGCCCAGCCGCCTTACTCAGCATCTGAGCTTGGTCACCTCTCACTCAGGACGTCAGCAATGAATTAAAATACTACCCAGTTAAGACTACAACGCGCCACACTAGGGCTGCATTCAGCGTTTTCGGGATTGCAGGTAGCGGCGTCCTCCCATTTCCTGCGATCTAGCAGGCCCTGCACACGCACGAACCGCCCTCTGACGCGTGACGCTCACCCCTAAAGGTCGGCGGGAAGTCACCTAAGCCCTGATTTACATGGAAGCCATCCCGTAACGTGCTTAAGGGCCAACGACTCGGCCGCTTAAAAGCCCATGACCAGTTCTAACACTGGGGCTTTGTAGAAACACTCTTCTAAACAAAATCCGCAGCCTGGATTTTAGGTGCACAGAAGTGGGAGGTCACTACTGCGTTGCACGGCACCTCCCAGGACCCTTCCTAATCACAGGCGGCGTCCCCTCCATGAGGTCTAGTCGTCCCCGATCCAGCCAAACCTAATCCCGGGCAGATGATCGGGTCGCGAATTTCCCACTCCCGGTATCCGGAAGGCGGCATCAAAGGGTTGATATTTACCCCGTATCTAGGAAGTGTTAACAGCTCTTTCTGTGACAGTTTGGGGGCCCTGAAAAGGGCCTTTTGGAGTCTGGAGAGAAACTGTGGGGACAGCTCAGCCGCCGAAACCATAGAGGGTGCGACCCTGGCGTTTCAGCGCGTACACCACATCCATGGCCGTGACGGTCTTGCGCTTGGCGTGCTCCGTGTAAGTCACCGCGTCGCGGATCACGTTCTCCAGGAAGACTTTGAGGACTCCCCGGGTCTCCTCGTAAATGAGACCAGAGATGCGCTTGACGCCCCCACGTCGGGCGAGACGGCGAATCGCGGGCTTTGTAATGCCTTGGATATTGTCCCGCAACACCTTCCGGTGGCGCTTGGCGCCTCCCTTACCCAGCCCCTTGCCGCCTTTACCGCGCCCAGACATTCTGAAGTAACAGCTCCCACTTAGCAGAAAATCGGGCAGCCCACTGTGATTGCCTGGCGCAGACCAGGGCTTATATTCTCTCAATGCGGACCTGTTTGAAAACATGAAAAAGTGGGCGGAGCTCTAGGCCCCACCTCTAGAGACATGCTATAGTTGTTAAATCCAGGAAGCAGTCAGCGAAACCAGCCTGATTTTTTTGTTGTTTGCTCTTTTGGGAAAACTTTTTCTGATATTTGGAGAAAGGTTCATGGTGATACATTTTAAAGTTAAAACAGTATGAGCTAATAGAATTTATATTGCCTTTTTTCAGCCCTTAAATAAAAATAGGCCAGATCCTATGAACGTTCCTTGTTCTGTCTCTCCCTCCCTCCCTCCTTCTAATCATGTTTTTCCAAACGGAATTCCTGACTTACTGTGAAACTCAATAAAAACCTGAAAAGCTTTACATCTGAGATTGCAAAGCAATTACTTAAAAATTTTCACATGTGGGTCTTTTAAAGCCATAGTAGGGGGAGAGGACTTTTTTTTTCTCTTTTGTGGCCCTGCAGAGAATTAAGATACTTTCAATTGAAAAAAAACAAGCCCAGCTTCCCGGCCCCCACCTACACTCCACCCCCACCTCCCCCAACCCCCGCCATTCCCCTTTAAGCGGCTTCTGCTCAATTTGCAGGTTTTCCTGCCCTGCAAGAGCCTGTGTGCTTATCAACCAAGTAACTTCCCATGGTAATTTAGTTGAAATATTGTAAATGTCTTAGGTCATTCAAATCTCAGGTTCTCATCTCACATTTTCCACTTAAAAATTCAAAGTTCTTGTAAAATAGTGGAAGCCACAATCATGACTTGGACTAATGATTTCTACTGCAAATCCTCTCAGGAGGTTCTGAATCCCTTCCTTTCTCAAGAGAATCCTTAAACAAAAACGAAAGTTTCTGTGAGGTGTCACCGGTCTTCGAAGGTGTCAGGACCCTGTCTTCTCTAAAGGTCTGACTGTGTTAAAAAGCAGCTGTTATTTAGAGGATGATTCATAAGTCTTTCCCCAGGTACGTAATTAAGATTCTGAGCAATGTATTTCAGTAAGTGGGGCTCTTTGTACCTGGTCTTGAAGATAAGCCTTTACAGCAGGAAGGCTTTATGGTAAATTTTTATTATATTTCTAAATGCTTATAGTTAACATTTGTTTCAATCTTTGCCCATCTTCATAACCCAAAAGGTATTTCTTTTTCTTTTACTTTTTGTTAAAGATAAAAGAGTTGGAACACTTTCTTGAATGGCTGGAAAAAGTCCTGCATGGTCGAACTTCACTCCATGATTTTAATACTTTACTCAGAGGGAAGAGGAAAAGTCTATCAGATCTTGAAGGGATAAGAATTATTGTAATGGGGCTGGGCGCGGTGGCTCACGCCTGTAATCCCAGATCTTTGGGAGGTCGGATCACGAGGTCAGGAGATCGAGACCATCCTGGCTAACATGGTGAAACCCCGTCTCTACTAAAAATACTTAAAAATTAGCCGGGCGCGGTGGCGGGCGCCTGTAGTCCCAGCAGCTAGAGAGGCTGAGGCAGGAGAATGGCGTGAACCCGGGTGGCGGAGCTTGCAGTGAGCCGAGATCTCGCCACTGCACTCCAGCCTGGGCGACAGAGCAAGACTCTGTCTCAAATATATATATAAAAATATATAAATGGTAAAATAGGTTGACTTACTTATACTCACTTTCTAAGAAATCAAGGCTAGAATATTTTCAAATCAGAAATCTCTTGCTTATTAGAATAAAAGAAAAAAATCGTGTCCAAAATAGTAATAGTCTCAAAAACTCCTGAAAATTCCATCCATGATACAGGCGAAAATTTAAGCTAGTTTACAGAACTCATTCCAGGAACATCTCGTTAAAAACTGTATCAGAGATTTGTACGTCCATTTATTTGGTATATCTAAGAGTTGTTGGATGCTTACTAACATATTTAATTTTCAAAACACTTTGATACAGATACAGGAGTCAAATAACTTACCCAAGATCACTGCTTAGTGGTGAAGCCAGGATGTAGGCTGAGGCAGTCTGGCTCCAGAAAGGCCGCCTTTATAAAGCATGACAATAGCTCTGAAGACATTTATTGAGTCCCCAGTATGGGTTAATCATTGTTCTAGACAGTAATGACATTTACATAAATACTTGAAAATGTTATTTCAATGAAGTCAAATCTTTATTCGGATAGGGAGAAGGTAAATTTGTTTTACTTTAAATGAATCCACGTAAAATGTTTATTTTAAAAAGCAAGTGTTCAACATTACATCACGTATCGATGTTAACTGTTACTGAAAATGTTCAGGTAAAAATGAATTGACCTCGATGAATTAGTAGAAAGTAATTTCTAACTAAAATAAAACAAAATACTTTAAACAAAACACTTTTTTTGTTTCAAAAAGCGTGGGTCCACAATTCAGGTATGTAAGAATAAACTGCCATTCTGACTTTAGTCTCTGGGCTCATTTACAAAGAGACCCGGGGGACCTCCACGTCCTCGTAGAGGACCCGATCCGCTGATCTGCGGTGCCCTGGCTTGCCCGGAGCAAGCCAAGGCCAAGACTTCGGCCTCTCCAATAAAACCTAGTGGCTCTTTGCAGGCCCATAGCCTCAAAGACAAAAGATATTTTGGCTAGGCGAGCTTGTTCCTCCCGTCAGCGCAGGAAGCATTCACGTCTGGCCATCACTAGCTTCAAAGATTTAGAAGTGAACGATTGGCTGGCTGTGAGCCGCAGGACCCAGCAGGGAGACCAGGGTGGTCTCTACACTGTTGGGTAGCTGCAGGCAAGGCTCTTGTATAAGAAACAGCCCACGGACCCTGTCCTGGGCAGGCAGAATTCCGCAGAGAGGCTGTTGTTTTGCTTAAGCAGCACGGGCTGCCGAGACAGAAACCTACCTGACTAGTATGGTTTATTATATGAGAACATCCACTTAGCATAGCAACGTCTACGGATAACCCCTGTAGCTCTTCTTCTGGATTGCTTTGTTTCCAACCATGTTTTCCTATTTCCTACTAGTTTATTTGCTTGGGAGCGAGCGTGGTCGTGGAAAACCCGTAACCGGTAAATTCATCTGGGTTCCCAAATGCGAAGCGGGCTGGCCTCGGTATTTATGTGAGCGGCTATATAAATGAGGATTCGGAGCTTGCTCTATTGATTGGAGAGAGCTGGAGGAGGCGGTCTCTCTTCCAGAGCGCTAGTTGGGAGCGGCGCCTGCCTGTCATTGGTCACCAGAGCCAATGGGAAGGGGCTGCCCCGCGCCCGCAAAGAGTTTGTAGAGGGAGTTCGGAGGTGGTACGTTGCATTCCGGTACCGGACGCCGAGAGCGGTTTGTCTCCGTCTCTGGAGTTGTAGGCGAGAGGTGATCATGTCCGGTCGCGGAAAACAGGGCGGCAAAGTACGAGCAAAGGCCAAATCCCGCTCCTCCCGCGCGGGCCTGCAGTTCCCGGTGGGCCGAGTGCACAGACTGCTGCGCAAAGGGAACTACGCGGAGCGAGTGGGCGCCGGGGCGCCGGTGTATCTGGCGGCGGTGCTGGAGTACCTGACGGCGGAGATCCTGGAGCTGGCTGGCAACGCCGCGCGTGACAACAAGAAGACCAGGATAATTCCCCGCCACCTGCAGCTTGCCATCCGCAACGACGAGGAGTTAAACAAGCTGCTGGGCAAAGTGACCATCGCTCAGGGAGGCGTCCTGCCCAACATCCAGGCCGTGCTGCTGCCCAAGAAGACGGAGAGTCAGAAGGCGAAGAGCAAGTGACCCTGACGCCGCCCTCAGGGAGCTGGCTCCCCCCGCAAGGGCCCTTTTCATGGTCGTCCCGCAATGCTTTTGAATGTGCTGGATGTCATGGAGGGCCGGTGACATCTAGCGGGGAGGTGGGCGGCGAGGGGCCCGGCGGCAGCCAATAAAGTTGGTGAAAATCGTTTGGTCTAGAGAGCTATATAGTCGCGGGGACCTGCCGGATGGCCCCAGGGGAGGGGGGCGATTGGGAAACCCCTGGAGCAGGTACTGGTGGGTGGGCTTGAGCCACTCTGGACTGCTTTAGTCCGCAGGTCACCCTCGAAGCGTTAAGGGAGGGTGGCTTGGAGGTGGGCAGGGTGGGAGTGCACCTCGCTCTCAGTAGGGCAAAGGGGAGGCAGAGTCGGTGCGGCGAGGCCTCCTCCGGAATTATTTTTACTTCCCCTTCCCAGAGGCTTCGCTCTCCCGCCAGTTTGTGGGCACTCAGGACCAAGTTCTGGGAAGAGACCGTCGGATCGAGCTGGGCTCGGGGCAGGAAGTGTCTCCGGCCATATTTTTCAAAAAGTGGAGTAACTTTCCGTCTTGGAAGGGTGGTTCTGACGGCACAATATTAATTTAAGAGATTCTTCTTAGCCTAGTAGCTGCTGTGCTTTCATGCTTTGGATATCAGATATCCTTATATAGCACCTTATGTTCATATTTTTTTAAATGAAGGAAACGTTCAATTTCAGTCATGAGGTTGGAAATTGGTTCCCCGGACAGTCATATTGCATAACATTGCAACGCCTTTAGTCGTGAGTTACATATGCTTGAGCTTTTAAAGTGATGTTTTCAGGTTTCTAGCTTCATAATGATCCTGTCTTCATATTATATTCTCTTTGAGACTCAGTTTGACTTTGCTTTAAAACAAAGCAAAAACCTCTTGCTTTTAGGGGTTCTTAACCCAACAAATAACCTGTTTGAAATCTCTTATATTCTCCCACTAGCCTGAAGCAATGACCTCATTCCAGTAATGTCTTTGGGAGTTGCATTGCCTAATGGCACGATATTGCTTTAATAAACATGTGAGGAAAGATAGGGCCAAATACTTAAGTGCAGGGAGAAACACATTTCAGACCAGGAATCCATATTTAAGAGTTAACACTAGTAATCATCTGCCCTTAGTTGACACTCCCATTTATTTCATCCTTCTCAGCTAATTTCATCCTGGCCCACAGACCCCCCAAAAAAGATCCCAGTACAGATTTCACATCTTTGGACTCCTCTTTCCTGTGAGTCTGAATTGAAGTCTTCCCCCCAAAAATATATATATAAAATAATATATAATAAATATAAATACATATATTATAAATATAAATATTATAATATATATTATTATTATTTTATATATATATATTATGTCTTCATACTTAGTAGCAACTGGCCCATTTTCCCACTTGGACTTTATTTTGTCCCCAGTATTTATTGAACAGCTGTCTATGCCAGGCTCTGTACAGAGTGATAGGAGTAGAGCTGTGAATGAGGCCATCCAGATTTCCATTCTCTTGGAGCTCATTTTATTTTTATTAGTTCCTGAAGACGGGACAAGGAACAAATACATACATTAATATGAGAGATCAGCTTCTGTTAGTACTTGTACCTCTCTGCTGTGTGTGGATGAATGATGGAATTACTTCTCCCATGTTGCCACTTTTGAGGTGTACAAAGGTCAGGACGTACACACCTCTGTTAGGAGGCAAATTATTGGGCAGGTTCCAGATGTCCTGCTATTCACTCCCTGTGGTTTTGTCATATGTAAAAGTCGTAACACCTGTTTTAAGGATTAAGCTTGTTCATTTACTGTGTGCCACATATTAGACAACAAATGGAAAAAAGTACGATGTTCTATGGGGGTATGGGTTTATCCTTATAGGTTAAATTATAGGTAAACATTAATAGGACTTTAAAAAAAAAGCCTAATTGTTAGAATTAATACTTGCAGTTACCACTTGAGGTCAGTGGAACAAAATGCATATATGGTTTTGACATTTGAGTCTAATTTCTTAAAGAGATGAGGCATCTGAGGGATTGTTACCAAAATGATGAAGAAATAAGGACAAGGGACATCAAGACATTCAAAAGAAAAAACACTTTTGCCTTTCCCTGGGAAGATTCACTGGAGTCTGTCCAGCTTTGTTACATGATGAGCAACATAGACAAGATACAAGGCATGGTAACTGCCCTGTCTCCACCCGCCTCTCCCACCACTACCCTAAGGATTCTTAGCATCCCCTCACATACTTTGCCTGCCTCAAAATTCAATAATCTCCTCACCATTTTTGTTTTTGAGAGTTTTTCTTAAAGCTGAATCGTTTATTGGCAGTTTAAAATGCATACTCCTACAAAATCAGCTCAGTCCATGATCCACGATGGACAAACAGTAGTTCTTGCTGATGTGTGATTGTTAATTTAAAAGGCCACTATTTCTTTAAGCATAAGACCATATGGAAAAAGACCTAAGACAAAATCTGGTGGGAATTGAATTCCAGTTTTTAATAGAGTTATAATCCATAGTTTTAGTTACACACACACATACTCTTCCCTGCAGAGATAAGCCGTTCAGTGCGGCTGTGGCTTGGCCAGGATTTGTTTGATCTTTGTTTTTCCTGCAGGGCCAGTCTTGTCTTTGTGTCCCTGAGGACTGGTCTGTTTAGTTGTGCCTGCCTGGAATCAAAAGGTTTAGTCAGGCTCCATAATTGGTGATGACTGGCGTACTACATGCAAACTTCACAATGCCCCTTCCAGTGGTTGAAAGGTCGCATACCACGCTGTGTAAGAACTTCAGCTCTCTGCAATGAGACTTAAATTCAGATTCACTCTACTCATGAGTTATCTGATTTTTGGAAACTTAATCTCTTTAAACCGGTTTCATCTCTAAAATGGGCATAATAGTTTACCTCGGAGAGTTTGGGGAGGATTCAATGAATTAATGTGAGTGAGGACACTAAGATTCCCGTATAGAAATAGGCTCAATGAATAGTAGCTGTTCTTATTTCTATGTAAAGTGAGTAGCGGTAGTTGATGGGAGCTGTTGAAACAGGTAAACATACAGCATTCTAGCAATCCTATGACTTTCGTGATAACAACCATAAAAACAATTTTAGTGACTGTTTTATTAATTAAAGCACACCCACAATTCAATGTATAACGAAAAAGAAAGTAATAAATGATTAAAGCTTGTGAACCTGAATTTGCAGTTTTGTTTTTTTTGTGTTTGTGTTTTGTTTTTGCCCCGAAGACAACCTAGTTTAGAATTTATGGCTTGTTAAGTCCACCCACACACATTAAAAATGGACCCCGTTTGTTCAATAATTTATTGAACAATATTATGTGTTACACCTGTGATTGGTAACCAGCTGCAAAGAAACTTACTATCATGGTACACACACTCAAAAGGAAGATAATAACAGAGTACATGTAGAGGGAAGGAGATGCTCAGGGTGTTAACAGGAAGAGGGAATATGGGTACCTGTGTCACTCAGCCAGGTGGGCACACTGGCTGGTGGGAGGTGTAAGCTGGGCTGAGAGGCAGCACGCACGAAGACATGGGGGTCAAAGGTAACTCCTGCAACTGGATTTGGATCTGAATCTAGGGGAAAAAAGTCTGGATTGGAGATAAGAATTTGGGAGTCATGACTAAAAATAGCCAGAGTAGATCAAATCATCCAGAAAGAACATATACATGTATAGAGTATAGACCGATATCAGAAATTGCCACAACCAACAGAATGTGAAGATCTGTGAGATTTAATCAATTGGCAGAGGAAGAGGCATCACTAAAGAGAGAAAAGGATGCAGCCGGAAGGACACCAGGAGAGAAAGTGTCAATAGAGATTTTTCCACAATTTGGATCGTTGTGCTGCTTCATACTCCCTGCTTGCTTATACTTAAAGAAATGGTCTTTAAAAGTTATTACTTTTTTCCACACATAGGAAATGGTGACAAGCTGGCTCATGTTACTAATGGAATTGGAATCAAAATGCATTTTTACCCTTTACATTTTTAAACTGAGCATATGGAAATTCAAGGTATACACGGTGACAGCAAAAACATTTTTCTAAAAAAAAAACCTAGAAGAATATTGGCAAAGATCCCTTAAAGATATCCTTTATCATCATTCTTTTTAGTTGAATATAATTTTTTACATATAAAGTTTAAAGAAGTTTTAAAAAGAGGTAACTTATTCATAAAGCCAATGTAGGCATTTTAGAATGATTAAAACATGAGAAATTGGACTCTGACAAGGCAACTTTTTAAAAAATCAATAAATGTTTAGCTTTCCAAGAGAGAGAAATGGAGAGTAAGAGGAACAGAGAAGAAGCAGAGGAAGAAATAATGAAACTGGTTTCAGGCAGATATGAAATTATTGCTGTAAAGCTTTATTTTGTTTTCTCCACAAGTGGAGGAAGGAAAACTTACGTGTTGAAAATTGGATTTTAACATATACATACTTGAAGGAGAATGATGACTTGTTTGGGCAGTAACTTGGATCCATTTTGTTTTTTTTTTTGAGACAGGGTCTCCCCCAGTTGCCCAGGCTGGCGTGCAGTGTTGTGATCACAGCTCACTGCACCCTCCACCTCTAGGCTCAAGCCACCCTCCTACCTCAGCCTCCCGAGTAGTTGGGACTACAGTTGTGTGCCATCACACCTGGCTAATTTTTTTTATTAATAATTTTTGTAGAGATGGAGTTTCACCATGTTGCCCAGGCTGGTCTCTAACTCCTGGGCTCAACTGATCTTTCCGCCTCTGCCTCCCAAAGTGTTGGGATTATAGGCATGAGTTACCACGCTCATAGACCCTTGATAATTTTATCGAGCCATGAAATAAAAAAGCCAGCATTGCTTAACCCCGAAGTATGGAATCATAGGAGAAATGAACCCTGTATTCAACAAAATTATCCTTCTTTTAGACAAACAAGCAATCTGTGCATGAAAGTTTGCTTTCGGTTTTAAAGCACTTCTCAAATGAACTGTCTTTTTCATGTCAAAAACCCAAGTGACCACTACAATTCCGAAATATCCCTGATGAAATTGTTGTATTAGAGACGGAAGTGTACAGATTAGCTTTGTAGTAAGACATCGTGAAGAAAACGTGTGTTTGGCCTGAAAGAAGTGTAGTTTTAAATTGTGAAGACTAGGAGAAATGCAGTCGTATGTAAAGATGTGTAACCTCTAACCCCCAGAGTTTGGCCATGGGCCAGCTATTAGTCTAGGCAGACAAAACAAAATAGTCCAGTTCTCAGGGGCACATAGACAAGACAGAGGAAGACATCTTAATCAGACTTGGAAATGGTAACCCCAAGCAAAATTTATCCTAAGATCTCTGGTCTGGAGACCTTCTGAACTCATTAGCACTTGGAAGTCACTTGCAAACAGATTTATCAGAACTATGTTTATAACTTTCCCTGCAGACAACACTCAATATTAAGCAAGCAGTAGAAGCAAGGAATAGAAGACTAAAAATGGTTTGCTGAAAGAATATAAATCTGATTAGATAATTAAAAAAATTCCAAGAGAGCGTCTTCCTAGGGAAACACATAAAGTCAACACTGAAGTGCTTCAACAAAATACAGGAACTCAGTTCAATGTGAACTTATTTCCCAGCCATGAGCAAGTGGCACCTCACACAGATCAAGTCACTAGAGGTCTCAGATGTGCACACTGCGTTGAGAGTCCTGGTGCAAGCAATGAGAGCTTTGGCTAAACCTGTAGTTTTGTCTATGCCCTCTAGCCAAAGACCATCAGGAACATATTTGTAGTTGAACAAGTTGGGATTATTCCTCTTTGCAGCAAGGGGGAACACATTCCATGGGGAAATGTGGGGTGTCTCAGTAAGAGGCTGTTAGGGCGTATTATAGGACTTGGGTTTGTGTTAGTTGATTTGGGGGCTTTGCTCAGAATTGCATGCCGTCAGGAAGTGGGGTGCAAGGAGTGTTGTAAAGTGCAGAATGAAGTGAAACTAAAGCTGTAATTGGTAAATATGCTAACGCATATTAGCCAGGATAGGGGTTTTTTGTTCATTTTTGTTGTTTGGACAATGTTCATGTTTTTGTTTCTGTTCAGACATGATTACAGAAAGGTCTTGTTTTTTATTTGATCTTTTTACAGCCACTCAGTGGCCTTGTCTTGTGTTAGTGTTCTGTGAATTGTGTATGTTCAACAGATCACCGCAGTG